TTTAAAAAACTTTTTGTTAATAAATTCTCACTTATACAAAAACTATGAAATGCATATTTGAAATAATATTACCTTAATTAATAGTACTATTTCAATAATTATTTCGATAATTATCAGTTTAATTTAGTTTCGATAACAACAAAAAAAAAAAAATTTTGAGGTGGCATAAATATTTCTATTAACTCATACCAAACGATTTTAGCGATAATTGAAACATTTAAATGCAATTGAAGTTTATTCATAGATAAATTAATTGAACATAAATTGTTTATAATTAAATTGTATAAAAATGTTTACACGTACGTACGTTACTTACAGCTCTATTACGGGTAATATGCATTATTTACACGTAAAATATATATATTAAATTAACAAAAAATCTGGTAAGTGCTCTTATCACACTGTTTTTGAAAAAATAACTGATAATAAATGGAGGAAAACATCTAAATGAATTTATGTATAAAGAAAGAACTTTGAAATAATATTTGTTCGAAGTTTTTTTTTTAGTGGCCAAGTCTTCCATCTATGAATCATTCAGAATGTCCTCTGATTATCAATGCAATGATATCAAACAATATACTAACTTCTCTTAGTGGCCAAGTCTTCCATCTATGAATCATTCAGAATGTCCTCTGATTATCAATGCAATGATATCAAACAATATACTAACTTCTCTTAGTGGCCAAGTCTTCCATCTATGAATCATTCAGAATGTCCTCTGATTATCAATGCAATGATATCAAACAATATACTAACTTCTCTTAGTGGCCAAGTCTTCCATCTATGAATCATTCAGAATGTCCTCTGATTATCAATGCAATGATATCAAACAATATACTAACTTCTCTTAGTGGCCAAGTCTTCCATCTATGAATCATTCAGAATGTCCTCTGATTATCAATGCAATGATATCAAACAATATACTAACTTCTCTTAGTGGCCAAGTCTTCCATCTATGAATCATTCAGAATGTCCTCTGATTATCAATGCAATGACATCAAACAATATACTAACTTCTCTTAGTGGCCAAGTCTTCCATCTATGAATCATTCAGAATGTCCTCTGATTATCAATGCAATGACATCAAACAATATACTAACTTCTCTTAGTGGCCAAGTCTTCCATCTATGAATCATTCAGAATGTCCTCTGATTATCAATGCAATGATATCAAACAATATACTAACTTCTCTTAGTGGCCAAGTCTTCCATCTATGAATCATTCAGAATGTCCTCTGATTATCAATGCAATGACATCAAACAATATACTAACTTCTCTTAGTGGCCAAGTCTTCCATCTATGAATCATTCAGAATGTCCTCTGATTATCAATGCAATGATATCAAACAATATACTAACTTCTCTTAGTGGCCAAGTTTTCCATCTATGAATCATTCAGAATGTCCTCTGATTATCAATGCAATGACATTAAACAATATACTAACTTCTCTTAGTGGCCAAGTCTTCCATCTATGAATCATTCAGAATGTCCTCTGATTATCAATGCAATGACATTAAACAATATACTAACTTCTCTTAGTGGCCAAGTCTTCCATCTATGAATCATTCAGAATGTCCTCTGATTATCAATGCAATGACATCAAACAATATACTAACTTCTCTTAGTGGCCAAGTCTTCCATCTATGAATCATTCAGAATGTCCTCTGATTATCAATGCTATGTTATCACAATATTACTAATCTATCGATGATAAAAACTCGCTTACTTTCTTAACAGTGATAACAAACAAATGAACGTCCATCATTGCTCTGTCTTTTATATTTGCATTAATTAACATCGTACAGTGACACATTTTCTTCTTCATTACTAATTGGAACTGTTCAATGTGATTTAGTAATGATCTGCTAATAAATATATTTGGGACAAAAACTTTTAAAATAAAATTAGACAAATTAATTGTTTGAGATAATTAGATGAACAATTAATATTAATACTAATTATTTTAATTTGATTTGTATCAAAACGATCATATTAAGCGTTATAAATTATAAAATTTGTTCTCTTTGTTAAATCTCTATCAGTTCAATTCAAATTATAAAGTAATTTAAAAGAAATTTTTATTGGATTTACAGTCAACATTATGAATATTCTTATAAATTAATTGATCTATACTTACCTATGTATTCGAGAATATTTCTGTTAAATCTACCTATGTACTCGAGAATATTTTTGTTAAATTTTTATTGGATTTACAGCCAACATTAAGAATATTCTTATAAATTAATTGATCTATACTTACCTATGTACTCGAGAACACTTCTGTTAAATCTACCTATGTGTTCGAGAATATTTCTGTTAAATCTACCTATGTGTTCGAGATTATTTCTATTAAATCTTTTGAAAAGAATTCTGTTATATTCACTAAAGCTTAAAAAGTATTATTACTTATATTATTTTCGAAAAATTTTTTTTTTAAAAAAAAAAGAACAGAAGAAAACAAAAACCAGAGATAACTAGTTAACTCAAAGTAATGAAAATGATAATAAATTAGAGTAAAATATTATTTTTGAACAAATCCAAAAGCAAAAAAGCAAACAAAAAAAAACCAGTAGAAAACATAACAAAGATAATCATTAAAGTAATACTAAACTTCAAATTTTAATTTCAAATTTTAGGGAAAAAAAATTTTTCTGAAAAGAAATAAATGGATAACAAATTAGAATAAAATAATAAACTTCAAATTTTAGGAAAATATTATTTTTGAACAAATCCTAAAGTAAAAAAGCAAAAAAAAAAAAAAGCAATAGAAAATACAAAAAGGACAATCATTTAACTTAAATGTTAGTGAAATAATAAACTTCAAATTTTAATTTTAATTTCAAATTTTAGGAAAAAAAAATTTTCAAAAATAAAATAAATCATTTTTTATCTAAAAAAAATTTTTTTTTTCCCCTCAGTAAATTATTTTAAAAGTTTGTTGGAAAAGTATTTGAAAGAATAAATATAAGCAAACGATGGCGATCTTATAAAATGGCCAATTCTGATGATATGCACCTATCTACCTGTGTACACTGTCCATTCCTCTTATTTCTCCTTATATAAACATACACATACACACATACACACACACACACACACACACATACACACACACACACATACACGCAAACAAACATACACGTAAACATAGATACAGACAAACATATAAGTAATAGTAGTAAGAAATATCGAATAGTTTGGAAGAGAAATAAATGAAATAATAAAAGTAATGGAAAGAAGAAAGGTAATGATGCGGAAGGATGTTTGATGTGACCAATGACCAATGGCTACTTATGTGGACAGATGGTGACACATTATCTGTCTATCAATGATACCTCATCGTTCATATCTCTCTCTCTCTCTCTCTCCCTTTCTTTTTGCTTTTTGTTCAAAACAAACTTTCCATTCCATAAACTGTTCATTTCGTTATGTCTGTTTGATATATGTTATGTGATTACAAATCATTTATCATAGAAAATGATAAATGAAAGATAACGCTTATCACTAAACGAGAGAGAGAGAGAGAGAGAGAGAGAGAAATATAAAATTTCAATTTTTTAGGATTTCATTTGAAATAATCGATGAATAAATTAAAATAAACCATTTAATAAATTATATGTGTAAAAAAAAAAAATTTTTTTCTTAATTATTATGATTATTTCACCTTAAATAATTTATTATGATTATTTCACCTTAAATAATTATTATGATTATTTCACTTTAATTCTTTAAAATTTTATATTTTTAATTTTTTTATTTCAATTTTAGATTTATTTTGTTTAATAGAAAAAAATTTTAATTAAATTATTCAATTTTATCACCTTTATTTATCATTTCTTTTCCTTTTTTAGTTTCATTTTATTACTTCCTTAAATTTATCCATGAAAAAAAAAAATAATTTTGCTAATATAAATTAAATTCATCTTATCATATCATTCTTATCAAATTATTTCATATCTGTACAAAAAATTTAATTAATAGCTATTCCTACTATTTATATTTTATATTTTATCTAAAATTTCATTCTTTAATTATTATATTTGTAAAAATTTGCATAAGTTTTTTTTTTCACTAAAAAAAATTTAAATTTAACAAAAAAGTAGAAAATTGATAAATGTGATATTTTTTAATCTTTAAATGAAACAAACATCTGCTTTATGCTTCATCAACAAATATTTCACTTTTTTTTTCTTTCTTTCTTTTTCTCTCTCTCTCTCTCTCTTCTTTCTTTTTTCATACAAAATAATAGAATTTTTCATTTTCGTTTTCTTTTGAAAATTTAAAGAAACACATTTAATAATAGCTGTAGCAGAGTGATTGCAGAGAATTTCCATTGTAATACTAATAAATTCTCTTAGCAGTGAGAGAATTTATTGTTTATTGTTTACAATTTATTGTTTTGAAATATATTTAAATTTTTTCGGTCAAACATGAAATACATTTAATGGATTTTAACATTTTGTGTAAATTAAATGATTGAAAATGTCAGTGAGATGGTAAAAATATTTACAATAAACAAACAATTCCTTTTAGAAAAAAAAAAACAATTTGAACGATATTAATTACTTTTTCTTTTCTTACTATTATTTACTTTTTCTATTCGTAACAGTAAACTCATTATCATTATCATTATCACTGTCATTATTACTATCATTGTTCTTATTATTATTACCATTATTATTATTAATATTATTATTATTATTATTATTACCATTATTATTATTAATATTATTATTATTATTATTATTATTATTATTATTATTATTATTATTATTATTATTTTTACCATTATCATTATTATTATTATATTATTGCCATTATCATTATTGTTATTATTGAATTATGTTATTGGTTAATTAATTAATAGTAATTAATGTTAATATGAATAAATATATTATTTTTATAACTTATCAAATGTTTTGAGTTTCTGAGATTTGACTATTTCAGTTTCATACAAAATAACTTAAAGAATTATAATTGTTTTATTACTATTGCATGTATTATTTACTTTTTCTATTCGCAACAGTATACTCATTATCATTATCACTATCACCATCATTATTACTATTATACTCATTATCATTATCACTATCACCATCATTATTACTATTATACTCATTATCATTATCACTATCACCATCATTATTACTATTATACTCATTATCATTATCACTATCACCATCATTATTACTATTATACTCATTATCATTATCACTATCACCATCATTATTACTATTATACTCATTATCATTATCACTATCACCATCATTATTACTATTATACTCATTATCATTATCACTATCACCATCATTATTACTATTATACTCATTATCATTATCACTATCACCATCATTATTACTATTATACTCATTATCATTATCACTATCACCATCATTATTACTATTATACTCATTATCATTATCACTATCACCATCATTATTACTATTATACTCATTATCATTATCACTATCACCATCATTATTACTATTATACTCATTATCATTATCACTATCACCATCATTATTACTATTATACTCATTATCATTATCACTATCACCATCATTATTACTATTATACTCATTATCATTATCACTATCACCATCATTATTACTATTATACTCATTATCATTATCACTATCACCATCATTATTACTATTATACTCATTATCATTATCACTATCACCATCATTATTACTATTATACTCATTATCATTATCACTATCACCATCATTATTACTATTATACTCATTATCATTATCACTATCACCATCATTATTACTATTATACTCATTATCATTATCACTATCACCATCATTATTACTATTATACTCATTATCATTATCACTATCACCATCATTATTACTATTATACTCATTATCATTATCACTATCATTATTATCATTGTTTTTATTATTAATTTTTAGATATTTTCCCAACTCTTTTGTTATTATTATCATTATTATTATTACTAATCATATCATATTGTATTGTAATAATAGAAAAAAAAATTTAAAAAAATTTTTAAAAAATACAAATTAATATTTTCTTTTAATCAATCGAAATTTCATATTTCATATTCTGATAAATTATTTTTTGTTGTTATCTGTCCTGATAATAACAATCAAACTAATAATCATTGTTCCCTCCTCAATCATTTGTTTTACATCTTCTGAAATTATTTTAAAATCTTTCTATCATTTGGCTGATTTGTGATCTTATCATTCCCGCACTGATATTTTATACCATCGATAAAATAATTGAAACCAGAAATATCATTATTTGAAATTATTTAAAAATCTTTCTATCATTTGGCTGATTTGTGATCTTATCATTCCCGCACTGATATTTTATACCATCGATAAAATAATTGAAACCAGAAATATCATTATTTGAAATTATTTAAAAATCTTTTATCATTTGGCTGATTTGTGATCTTATCATTCCCGCACTGATATTTTATACCATCGATAAAATAATTGAAACCAGAAATATCATTACTTCCTCATTTTTTTTTTCTCGCACAAATATAATTAATTTACTTACTTTTTCTTCGTTCGATAGTTTTATCATTAACTGTAATAAATCATTTTTTTTAAATCAGTTTTTCAAGGTAAATTGCAGAATTCAGTGATAACGTATGTTCCGCTTCTTTAACTTTTTTTTAATTTTCTTTTTTTTTTTAATTTTTTTTTTTGCAATCATTGCACATTCAACATAGATTATTTTGAATTAATCAAATCAAATCAGTTATTTATAGCTCAAATAATATTATCTCTTTTTAATTTCCATTTTAATCCTTTAATTTTACTTTAAATGCTAAAAAGAAAAAAATAAATAAATACTTTGTATCAATTAAAAGATCTATAAATATTTGTTACTTTTTTTGTTTTTTTTAAATATTTTCTCCCAACTTGATAAATTCATTTTATTTTTAATTCAAATTTCATTCTATTTAAATTCAATAGATAGAAATTTTTTCTTTTTTTTTTTTATTTAATCATTTTTGCTTATATCTTAAGCATTAGCTATTATTTAACATTTATATTATTAAATGATATTTGTTTGAATAAAATTGATTGTATTAAAATATTTCTTTTTTTTTTTCAAACTTAAAAAAATTAAAAATTCTGCAACATTTTGTTAAATTGTTTAATTTTAGAATGATTAAAAAAAATGAAACTGTAATCATTTATAAATGAATGATAAATGTAAGAATGAAATGATAATTTGATTTAGCAAAAAAAAAAAAAAAAATACACAGCAAATAATTTATCAAAAATCACAACTATTCATTTATCTTAAATAATTACTTTCACTTTTTTTTTTTTTTTTTAATTTACAATAAAACTAGTTTTTTAAGAGAAATTTAAGTCTCTTCAATGCTATTTATACTTCCATTTATCGTTTCTTTTTTTTAAAAAAAAAAATTGTTTTTCATTTATATGAAGCAGTTAGTTGGTCATTGCATTTGTTTACTTATCACTTTAACTAGTTCTATAATTATCATTAATTGTACATAACAAAAATGATTAATGATAAGATAAGACGAGGAATACTAAAGATGAAATTACTGATAACAATAGTTGGTGATAATTAGTTGTAGTGCAGATTATTGACTATTTGTAAATTTTACATTTAGCAATAGTTACTAATTAATAGTTTAGTTAATTTTGTATGAATTTTAATATTAAAAAAAAAAGAAATAAAAAATTAAAATTAAAAAAATTATATAAATTACAGAAATGAGTATTGATGTAGATGCTTTAACAAGTGCTGCTCGACTTGCTATGGATCGAGCATACTGTCCGTATAGCAAATTTACTGTTGGTGCTGCTTTATTAACCAAAGATGGTAAAATAATTACAGGAGGTATTTTAATTACTTAATGTTAAAGAGGTATTTTAATTTTCTTTTCTCTGTTATTTAATGTTAAATAAAAAAAAAAATTGATTAAAATTGCTAATTAAATTTTTTAATTATAAATATTTTTTATGTTAAAAAAAACAAACACTCAACTTATTTATTAATTGTAAATAATAAAAATGAATAATTCTTATCTTTTAATCAATCACCTATTATATAATCTTTTTTTTTTTTTAAAAAAAAAAAAGAAAAATTATAGGAAATGTCGAGAATGCATCTTATGGTGGAACAATATGTGCGGAACGGAGTGCAGTAACACGTGCGGTAGCTGAAGGTTATCGTGAATTTCAAGCAGTTGCAGTTTGCGCAACACCAGCTGAGCCTACTGCTCCTTGCGGACTTTGTCGACAATTTCTTATTGAATTTGGTGACATGAAGGTGACAAATCTTTTTTTCTTTCTTTTTTTTTTTTCATCTTCTAATTTTAATTCAAACATATGAGCTCAATTGTTATGCGCATATAATAACATTTAATCAAATATGATTATTATTAATTCCTAATAATAATAATAATAATAATAATAATAATAATAATAATAATAATAATAATAATAATAATAATAATAATAGTAATAATAATAATAATAATAATAATAATCATAGTAATAATAAGTAATAAATAATAATAGTAATTCCTAATAATGATAATAAATAATAATAATAATTCCTAATAATAATAGTATTAATAAATAATAAATAATAATAATTCCTAATAATGTTAATAAATAATAATAATAATTCCTAATAATAATAGTAATAATAAATAATGAATAATAATAATTCCTAATAATAATAATAATAATAATAATAATAATAATAATAATAATAATTCCTAATGAAATATTCATGCAGATTCATTAATTAATATTTTTCAGGTAATAATGATATCATCAACTTCTAATAAACGAATAGAAATGCAACTTTCACAGCTAATACCACTATCATTTACAACAAAAGATTTGATACATTAAAATGTAATTACATTTTTGTTTTATTTCATTTTCATATTTAACAAATAAATGAGTTTTTTTTCTCATAATGTTCCAAATTTATCAAAATTTATTATTCAAAATCATAAAGTAATATCAGATCATATCATATCATATCAGATCAGATCATGTCACCTCGTGTCATATCATTAAAAATTTTCTGCAGGTAAAATGGTTCTGGAAGAATTGCGCCCAAAAAAAAAAAGCGAAAATTTCCCACAAATTATCTGTTCATGTTTAAATTTATCTTCCTAAACTATCAGTGATTCTTTTTCATATGTAAACAATTCTATTTAGATAATTTCTTGCAAATTTTTAGCAATTTTTTGAAATTTAAATTAATCAACAATTGATAATGCTTTTTGTTTATTTTAATAATTTCAATGAATAAACAATTTAATCATTATAATGTCGTCTGTTGTCCAAATGACTTCATAATAATTTTACTTTTTACATTTTACTGTTTGCATCAATTTTTTTTTTTTTTGACATTTTACTGTTTCACTTTTTTTTTTCAATTTCAATTAATTTTAAATCAAACATTTATTTTTACTGAAGTAAATTAAACCTGTTTTGAAAACAAAAATTGAATTAATATCATTTCTTGCATTTTATCTTTTTTTATTTTTGCAAAAACCAATGAAAATAATATCAAAATATAAACAAAGTATAGTTTATCAATTCATTAATCTAAAAGCAAAAGTATCTTTATGAATTTTATTATATTCAAATTAAATTTAAAAATTATTACCACGAATAATACTCTTTCATTAATATTCATATGATTTCAGTATGTATAACACTTATTTGCTATAATAATCGTAATAAAATGCTAAATTTTGATTAGATTTAGATTAAAATTTGGGACAATCAATAGTTCAACAAACTTCAAAGAATTATTATCAAATGACTATCAAAAATAATTATACCTCTAAATACAATTATTATTAATACCAAATCTTTATTTTAAAAATTTAAAAAAAAAAAATTGTCATTTAAAAATATCAATGCTAAAAAATTTGTTGCACAGTTTAACTTTTTGAAATAAATTATTACGATTTTGAATTTTATTTTTTAACAAATGTTTCAGAAACTCATTTTATAAGCATTTGTGATTTTAAAATTAATCTTTGAAAGAAAAAAAAAAAAAACATTTTGTAACATATTTAAAACTAAATGCAATGCATTCAAATAAGAGATAAATATGTAAAAAAGAAATTGTAAATAAAATTTTGATGCCATTTATTTCTTTTTTTTTTCTTACTTTTAATAATTTTATGTTTGATTTCTTTGACATTTATTACTTATTAATTAAGCTTAAGAATACATATGATTATTGTTTATCAGAATGTTTTTTAACTATTTTATAAATATTCTAAATTACTTTTACAACCATAAACAAATCTATCAATATAGAGAATTACTATTGTTATAATAAAATTTTTTTAACTATTTTATAAATATTCTAAATTACTTTTACAACTATAAAACAAATCTATTCTAAATTACTTTTTTTTTCTAAATTACTTTTACAACTATAAAACAAATCATTACTATTGTTATTTTACAAAAAGTTCACTTTGCATTTATACTTCATTTTTAAAATCTCATACGATTCCTCTAACTTTAATTAATATTTTTTTCATATATTTAAAGAAATAAATACCTGGTAGAAATATTCCTTTCAAAATTTCAATATTTTAAAAATATCTTATCTTTTAAATGATTTTTTATCATTTTAAAATCACTTTTATACTATCATTCTTCTATTTCATTACGATGCAATCAATTATACATATAATATTTGATCATTTTCACAATTAAAATATTAGTTGATTGATCAATTATTTGATTAACTAATTGTTGTCACAGCTGCAAAGACACATAAAAAAGAAAATAATCGTTTTTTTTTCTTTTTCTCTTCCTTTCCTAAAAAATTTATCTTTTTTACTTTCTCCTCAAATATTTGATTATTCTCTTTTTTCCTTTTTAATTTTTCCCCTTTTCTAATATTTCAAAAGATATTTCAGTTCAGGTTGGAAAAT